TGGGGGAATATGTAGATGGAGAAAAGAACGAAGATAAAGATCTGGTTAACAGTCAAGGAAATGATAAATATAAAAATTAAAAGGTAAAGATATAAAAACTAATATCTATAGATAAAGGTAGAGACAAAGACAGAAAAAGAAAGAGATACAATTGAAGAATGACATGTTAAGTTGTTTTATGCTATGTTATGTTTTGTTATGTTGTGTTATGTAACGTTATGTTTTGCTATGTTACGTAATGTTATGCTATGTTATGTAATGTTATGTTATGTTATGTTATGTTATCTTATGTTATGTTATGTTATGTCATGTTATGCTACGCTATGTTATGTCATGTTGTGTTACGTTAAGTTATGATAGTTTATCTTATTTTATATTATGTTAAGTTGTGTTATGCCGTGTTATGTTATATCATTTTATGTCATGTTATGTTATCCTATGTTATGTTAAGCTATATTATGTTGTGTTGAGTTGTGTTATGTGGTGTTGTTATGTTATTTTATGTTATATTCTGCTATGGTGTGAAACGTATTTCACCGCAATTCAGCTCAATTAACTCAACTCGGCTCAGCTCAGCCCACCTCAGCTCCCCTTAATTTAAAAGGTTGAATTTCAACCGCTGGGCGAACACTAGTATCTTTAAATTGCTACTACCAACAGTTGTAATTTTTTTACTAAGTAAGGGACCATTTAATTGATATGCAAATATAGAAACACCTTTTTAAAATTTTGACTTTTTCATTTTTTTGTTTTAACATTTCGTCATACAAGTGTCACGTAACGCCAGTTGGCAAATACCCTCATGTAAAATTTAAAACCTTTCATTGCAGACCCCTTGCACTGATTATGACAACACATATTTTCTATTTACGTACGTATTTAATATTACTAAACCAGGTGTAGAATTTTAAGGACAGTCAAGGTGACGGCGATGTATTACCTGTAACTATGTATATGAGTGCAAAAACATATGTACCCAATAAACATTGTGGCGAACGTTCGAAAATGACCTTCGATATCCAATATGAATATCGAACTGAGAACGAACTCATAACCAACCTTAGTTTTCCAATGTTCATAGCATATTGGAAATACACTCGAGATGGGTTCGAAAAAAAATGGAAACCACAGTAACAAGTAAAATGCAGCTCAACGGAAAATACATTGGATAACGAAGGTTCCGTTTTGCTAGAGAATGGCCTAGTTCTCGAATCGAATACTAACCTATGCCACATTCGTTATCGGCGGTGGAAATCGAAAAAAAAGTATTCATTTTCCAATCACTTTCGAATTGTTAACCAAGCCCAATGTTTGTTGGGTAGGCATAGATTTACATACCCATATATATACATACCTACATATGTATGCAAATTCATACCCATTTAAGACATTCGAATGCTTTTATTGCTGTAGCCACATGCTATCGACACGTGTTTTTGATGCTTATATAAGTAAGTAGTAGTTCTATGAAAATACGATACCTACCCCAAGTAATGTAAGTACTATACTTAAATATACCCTTCAAAGTTCCGAGTACAATTGCAAATAGCAACAATGCCGAAAAGTTCTATATAAAAGGCCACATGCATATTGTTTCCATTTCAATCTTTATCAAAAATTACTTTTTTAAATGATTTTTAAAGTTAAAGTTTTACAAAAAAGGTATTGTGAATATGTACCATTAATTTACAAATGGTACACCTTTTTTGACTTCATAATTTACATTCGGCTAAAACTTTTTTTATAAGTTTTATGCATGAAATAAGGAAATACCTATGCATATCAGGATATAATCGAAACAATTTTTTTTTGTGTCTTGCCGCCAGAGTTAGTTTTGAAGAAAACACTTTCAAAAGTTGAATGCAAATGTGCTCACAATTATGAAAATATAATAAAAAAAACACACTAAAATAGCTTTAGCTTCCTAAGGGGTATGCATATGCGGCGTCGGAAGAGTAGCCTATTCGATTTCTGTTTGTTTTACTAATTCAAATAACAAACACCTCAGTTATTCTGCTTGCCTTTCTACACTCTTCAAACATTTTCTTATGTTTACCATTCTGGACTTGTATTTGCTTTTCATACATCGGGTCCGCCTCCTTATTTTCACTACGACACAGCATTCATCATTAGCAGGGCGAAGCGGGGGCAAGTAAATAAGAAACATTTTTTTTCGCCCATACATGCACTTGCATATACATATGTACATACATATGTACGTAAGTATATACATACACAAGTGATTAGTTTAGCCAAGTTCAAGGTAATTGTAGAAGGAATGCCTATTTGAGAAATGTTAAAGAAACGAAGAAATGTGGTTATTGACATAATACTATTAAGCCGTCGCAAACTGAGTTGTTAGAGGTGCACAACTATCATTCGGTAGCATGCACGTGCAATGTAAACACAGCGAAACGTGCAAATGATATGGCATTTTTTTTTGTAATAAGTAACTGTCGACAATGGCAAACCTCTGAGAACATTTCAGCCATGAAAAGGACTTTAAGAAAAACCATTTAACATTCAGAGGCAGGGTAAAACGGCAGCTCCCACCATTTATATAACAACGTCAAGGCGCGCAATACAAATTAATGGAAAAATTCGACCAAAAATTTGGCACAGAATTATGGAACGCCAAATATTTATTTGTTTTCTTTTGCTATTGATTTCTCTGTTTTTATTTGCATAGTAAGGCAACATTTCGCATTTTTTGTACTATACTACATTGCACTATGGGACGTTTTAAAATTTTTTTGATAAAAATTAACTATTGCGTATTTTGCTCCCCAAAAAAATTGCTAAAGAAAATATTTCTCTTAAACAATTAAGGGATTATACCACCCTGAAACAACTCAAAAATTTGGTATAAAAATTAGTTCGCATTTAAATAAAATTAATTAGTAATTAAATAACTAATTTGATGAAATTTAAATAAAATTTATAAAATAATAAATTTTTTTAATTTATAAAATTTATTTATTTTTTTTAATTTAATTATCACTTGAAAAATATTTCATTATTTTAGGTTGACGGCAGAGAGTTTGCTAGAAGTGATGCTATGCTATGAAATACATGCGAAGCAGCAAACAAAATTTTTTACTTTAAACCACTGTCAGTTTTGCAAAAAAAAATTAAATGTTTTACACGTAGCTCATACCTACTTAAAAAAAAAACACATATTTTTGTAATTTTAGAAAACACCCCATTCAGAAATATTGCAGACCATCTTGAAAAGAGACAGCTAATTTCCTTTGAAAAATGTTTCCACTTTTTTATTTTATTGAAATGAATGTTTATTATTCTGACTATTTGAAACACCTTCAAAGCTTCGACAAAATTGCCTACGTATACTGTAGGAAAAAACTGCAAAAGACCATTAGAAAAAAAAAAATATAGAAAATGAATGCGAATTTCAGCCGCTGAATTTCAATTTAATATACATACATACATACATATGTAGTTCCTTTTTTTTTGTTTTAGATGAGAGACCAGCGCTGCGTATACGTAAAATTTTTCAGGGGACTATTTTGTTAGGACAGCTATGCGTATACGTAATGCTGAAGTGCCAGCCATGCCTTATCGTTGCTGCCATTAACTGGTTTGTCTGTCAATTCACAAACTTTCACTACCAGATAGATAGATATCGTTTAATAGGAAATATCGCTTTATTAAATCACTCAAACGAATCACTGACCCTGACATACATACATACATATGTGGGTACATTAGGGTGCATCACCACTTCCGCCAAACATTTTCAGAAAAATATTTAATAATAAAATAGATTTACGTGAGCTAGACCAATTTGAAAATATCTCAAAAATCTCATTTTGATTACGTTGACCTTTTAAGCTTCAACCGTTATCTGAGGTGAGGTGATTTTTGGAAAATAAAAAAAAGTTTTTAAAAATTAAGTATATTTATAAAAAAATGGATTTTTAGAATTATTTTCCAATCGGTTAAGCTCACATAAATCTTAATATTTTATCGAAATATTTTTGCGAAGGTCTTAAAATATAATTAACATTATAATTCCGATGCAAAAAAGCACAGATTTTTTTGTATTGACATTTGAACCTAATGTCTTTTTTTTTTGTAGCATATTTAATTAGTATTCCTTCCAAATCCCCTCCAGGTCTCTGCCTCACCAATGACATCGATTGGCTGCTTTATCACATGAACAATGCGCGTTACTTACGTGAGCTGGATTTCGCGCGTGTTGACTTCTATGAGCGCACAGATTTGTATCGCACCATAAAAGCGAAAGGCGGTTCTGTCTTTCAGGGAGCAGCTACCATACGTTATCGGCGATTTATCAGACCTTATCACCGCTTTCAAATACAATCGCGTGTAAGTGTGTTGATGAGATAAAAATTGTAACATCAAATCAATTTTGGTATAAACTATATTATAGAATAAATATTTTTTACGCTTTTCAGATCGTCTACTGGGACGATCAATCTGTCTATATGGAACATCGTTTCGTACGGCTCTCCGATCAATTCGTTCACGCCATTGCAATTTGCCGGCAACGTATACTCGATTGCTCCACCGAGGAAGTGATGAGCGACTTATTGGCGCCTAAGGGTATGCAGGCACAAGCAACTCACAATATTGTGAGCTCAACTTCTAGTCTGGACAATAGTGCAGTGACCACAACAAATTTGGATGTGGCCGAAAATGGACAAGCGCGTGTGAAATTGAAACCTGATGTGCCACCTGAAATACAAAAATGGATTGAATACAACGATTTGTCCAGCAAGAACTTGCGTAGCAACTGCTGATGCCAATGGCGAGCTGAATTGCATGGAGGCAATCTAGATACGTACATAGTACATACATACATCTGTACATAGGTGTGAATTTATAATAAAGTGCTTGCTTGGCTTAAGCCTATACGTGTCTACATACATACATATTCCATTGCATACATAGATATACATACACTAACATTGATATAAAGTTTATATGTATACGTAGTTTCACTTAGTAAATGCAAACTGATATAAGTTGTTGCGAAGAAGAGAACACTTATTTATTTTTTGAGCTAATTTAAGTATGAAAATCTTTATAAATTATGTACACCCCTATTGCGAGTGTCGACTGGTAGTGAATAAACGACTATTATTCGATTATCGCTTTTCCGTGGTGCTGTGAATGTCGTTGTCTCGTTGAATAAGCGACTGTGAATAGCTTTAAGTCGCTCATCCTTCAACAAAGAAACACTAAAAATATTAACAGTCGCTTATTGAACGAGAAATCGAAATTCACAATACTATGGAAAAGCGATAATCGAATAATAGTCGTTTATCTACTGCTAGTCGACACTCGCTTTGGGGAGGTGGTAATCTTGAATATGTAATTTGTTTTGTAAGAAAATATAAATGCGTACGGTACGTTGTAAAATCGACGCATATATTAAAAATGCCAATGTGAAAGTTGAACTACCTAATAGATGTGTAAATGTGTGGAAAAGGGTAGACCCCATATTCCTAAATAAAAGAAATTTGTAGAAAAATACGCACGTTTTATTTGGTCAAGGCGATCATTTGGAAAATTACCCTTAAAGATATATATATAACTAACGAATCAGGATATATTTTTTTCGTAAAGGATACAAATCATGTTTATTTGTTGATATACATAAGTACCATGCTTAAATCAGTAATTAGATCCAGTTTTATACCGTTTTGAAGCAAGTAATTATATACCGATGGTCCTCTGCAATAACGACTCAGCTCAAAACTAAACAAAACCCCTCAAGTAGTAAGTAGTAGGGATTAGGCATGGATTAGAGACATGGGGCCCTTAACAGCAGTAAAGTTTGTTTCTTTGATTTTCAGTAGAGCAGCGCCAAGAGCGTCTTTGAGTGGTTAAAAAATAATAAAAAACACAAATGGGTGTTTCCATAGAAATGTAAACCGAAAAAGGGTTATGAAAACGTGAGACGGTTTTGAGAAGAACTGGCAAAAATAAATTATATGTATTTTATTAGTAAAATTAATGTAAGGGAGAAAAATCTGTCACATCCGTTATCACATTTCAATTCAAAATAAAACTAACAACGAATTGCTGCTGATTAAATATGAATTGGTTGTAATGGTCCGTAATTTGACTTTATTCAAAGAATGTCAGATGATGCAATACAAAATAAGATTAAAAGAGCAACAAAACAAAAAAAAAAAAATCGGTGATTTTTGACAGACTGTTTTCAGACTTAAAAAAAAAAAAACATTTTGAAGCTTTAAGAGGAGCTACGGTTCTCATGCAATTCTAACAGATAGCGCAAAAAATAAATTAGCAATTTTTCCCCCTTTTTTATCTACGGGCTTGAAATTTTATTTTTTCAGTTAGGCCGACATGTGGACCAGATAGTTTGTTTATTTAGCTTTAATTTTGATTTTTTAAAACCTCCCTTAGATCCGGTTACTCAATGTCTGGTTAATCCTAACTACAGATTAAACATCGTTATTGTTGTTGTTGTTGTTGTAACTGCATATAAATTCCCAAAGTGTTTCTGGGGAATGATGCTGGTGTGACAGTTCGGTTACGTACACCCGACTATCGTTATCGACGTTATCGACTGCCTGTTAAATGTTATCGTATTTTAACACAGAGTTCGGAAAAAACTCCTCACTGAGGAAAAAAATTTCTGCCTCAATTCAAGAGCAATAAATTTTGATTTCCTCTTTTGTCAGTTAAAAAAGGAAGATCGCTTTTTACCCAAATTTATGTATATTTAAAATAACTTAGTTTTTCGTCACAATATTTACGCTTCCACAATAATAATATAACTAATAGATTGGTGCTTTCACAATATGTTAGTATTTGGCCGAGCTTCTGCTTCGATTTGTGGCGTGCGCCTTGATGTTGTCACACTTATTTTTATGAGAAGCTATTTTTTCATGGCAGAAATACAATCGGAGGCCGAGAGACGACCGCTATTAGAAAAAACTTTCCTGAAATAATGCAAACTTTAATAGGGAAAAATTTTAAAAGTAAACGTTTTTTTGTAAATTTTAAAGCTTGTTCTTTTACAAAAACATCAAGCTATCAGCGAAGAAAATTTATTAATAAATAAACTTGTAAATGGTCATGTGCTAATGCGTAATAATTTCTCTACAAAATGTTTTCATCCAAATTTATGATTCCATTCAGGGACGAAAAAATAGGTACAATTGTACATTTTTCCGACGTTTACTCACTTAAAGGTACATTGGGTACAATCATATTTTGATCAGATGAATTTTTAGTTCCCCGCATTTTTAACTCTTCTATTAATTTTATTCGTGGAAACAGTCTTGTGTCTAGGATTTCTTCCTCTGTAGTTCAGACAATAGCTATTTGACCCATATTCGCTTTTTGATTTCTGGAAATATGTTTCCTATTCCCATTATATTTTCTGACTTACTGCACCTATTAAAGGGAATCGGATAAATTAGCAGACTTTCCCTGTTGTTTTAAAAATAACTGCGCTTCGCAAAGTGTATTTTTTTGGTCTTTTTCACCAATATTTTTAAGTAGTCATAATTAGACAAAAACAAAGCTTCTACGATTTCCATTAGACTATAGTCTATAGATAAAAGCTGAGTTAAAAAAAAAGCCAATCAAGTTTAAAGTAATAATCAATCTTTTATATTCATAAAATTAATAAGAAAAACTACAAATAAATGATGTAACTTTTTTTAGGTACAATCTGTCTCATTTATGTAGGTATAATCTGAGATTTCCATTTTTCATCCCTGATTCAATTTATAGTTCATACATACATGGCGTATGAGTAACATTCAGCTTTTTGGAGTTGCAATCACAACCGCAGTGTTGCGCGAATGAATAATGCATCCGTTCGTTGTGAATTTCTAGCAACGTTTTATCAATTAGGAAGTTGCAACAGTCTTGTTAATTTTCATCAGCGCTGCTTTTATTACATGCCTGGAACATGCCCATTCTTTCCTAGTCATATTCGATAAAAAATTAATTATTACGCATTCATTTTACCATTTACAACTTTATTTATCAGGATTTAACACAACTCAAAAGAATTTACAAAAAAAGTTTTTAAATATTTTCGCTGTTAAAGTTTGAATTTTTTTCATTTACAATGACCTGATCTAGAGAAACGGTATACAGGGCCGTAATGTACGACTTGTATTGTCCCTACATTGTAATCGCTACTGAAATGTATACGGTTTCAAGGCGGGTACGTTTTACCTATGTAGCTCCTATGTCATCTCAATTTCGGAAATACGCAGTGTAGGGTACATTCGAAGAATTACGAATGGCAAATATACCGACAGATAAACCGGCTGTGAAAAATAAGTACATTTGTATGAAGGAAAGCATAGCTTAAATGTAATGCATACATATGTACATACATAAATATTTATAAACAAATCTGAATGCGCTCACCACTCTCTCATTGTCTCTTCGTACTCGTGCTCATGCCAAAGTGCAGCGTCGCAGCAGTAAACATTTTTGTGTTTTATTCAATATTAGCGATGCTTTGGGTACGCAGAGCTTCATAAAGTTTTTGTGTGCTGTGTGGAACGGACGTCGGCTAAGCAGAAGAAAAAATAAATAAATAAAACAGGTGAGTGGTTAATGAGTGGGCAAAATGTATCGAAATGTATTAAAAAAGAGTAGCACTATTGCGATTTTTTTTGTTTTGCTTTTTCATCTTTTACGGCAACTTGCCGTGTGTTGAAAGCCATTGACTCTAGCCACCTGGTTGAGTAAACCTTTGGAAATTGCATAAATTGTATACTTTTTGGAATATTTACATAAATTTAGGGCAAATGTCAAAATGCTTACGCAAACGTATTTACGCAAATCGCAGTGGCAGATGTTAAGAAACGGGTGCAAGTACACTGAGAAAAAGGATTAGTTTCGACAACTAAAGATATTTAGTTCCCGAATTTTGACAATATTTGGGAACTGTTACCAAGGATTGGGAACTATTACCATCGATTGGTAATTATAACTAAATATATTAAAGCTTCTAATATTCATCTAGGTTGTAACAAATCGTTAATTTAGTTGAAGGGTTTGGTTAATACTAATAAATATTTCTTTGAAGCATATTTCTACAAATTCCATTCAACTTAACGTATGGTTCATAAAAGGATGTTATTAAGCTCTGCTAATGCAGATAAGCTTTCTTTCAACACGTGGTTTAGTCATAGTTACCAAATCTTAGTTGAGGCAACCACGATTTGGTTTGAGAGTGGAACATATTCATGCTTGTGAGCCACCCCTAAATAATGCTGAGCGCTCTCTGAGCACATACGAAGAGCGCCAGCTGAGCAATGCACACAGTCCCACTTATTGAATCGTTTGAATGTGCTAGTATGCCGACCATTGCATTGTGCGTGGAAATCATTGCTCCGCTACCGCTGTTCGTATATGGGTGAAACACGCATGTGGTCCCAGAGCGCTCAGTAAGCTATGGCATGTCGATCGCTGCGCCATGTGTGCTATGACATGCCCATACTTGTTTGTCTCAGTTTCAGTTTTGCTATCATCGCGAGTTGTTTCGGTGCGCGCATAGTTTAAAGTTTAATTAAAAATATAAAGTTTGATGCCAACCGGGGTTTTTCAGTGGATATATAATTCACGTGAATTATAATTTGAAAGTGTCTATTTAGCTAAGGAAAAAGCAAAGCAGTATACTTCCAGCAGATATTGACCTGGGTTTTCGCACGACTGTTCCTGTTTCATCGTTTTTTTTTTGGAAATTCATACCACCATATACATATGTATTATTTACACTAGTAACTATTTATGTAGATATGTTTGTATTTTTTATGCTTAAAATAAGCTAATAAAAGAAGTAAACACAACAACCATCGAGTAAATTTTTATTTGTGTCAAACTGAAACTTTTTTTCCAATAATAAACGGTTAGCTGATTCACGTCTACAGCAAGTTCATAAAATTAATTGAAAACTTGTATCAACCAAAGCATTGTTTATATTTGCTCAACAATGATTTTATTCAACTAACAATATTGTCCACTCAAGGTAGTCGTTTTGTAATTATTAACAAATATACATTTGTCCCAACTAGACGTCTCAAGTAAATTGCAGACTTTCGTGAACTAGATATTTATTTCGCCATATCCAACTATGCCACTTGATCACTATAACCAAATCTTGGTTATTATAACTAAACCTTTTTCTGGGTGTAATTGTAAAGGTGAAAAGGAAAGAGTAAAGTACAACGGTGATTAAAATATTAGCTTCCTAGCCGCCGTTCAAAAGCTTTAGTTTTAACATTTAGTGTCAGGCGCCAAGTGGAAAAGTTTACATAAAAATTTTCCATTTCCAGTTGTTGGCAGCATCAAGTTTTAAAAGTTACAGGTAGTCTTTTTTAGTTGCGAGCTTTTTTATTTATTTTGCTCATAAAAATGTATATTATGCGTTTGTGGTTCTCACATATTTATATTATTGCTTAATATATATGTATATAAGTAATTTTCATTCTCCAGCACCATGTCCTTCCTTGTCGTTTTACTCATTCTTTACATCATTTGGGATGTCAACTATTTCATTCGCTGCATTTTCACTGTCCTAGCTGGCCGTCTGTTCCAGGGTAAACGCAAAGTCACTGACACCACAACCATCTATGGTGAGCCATAATTCGTTTTTGCTTTTTTTTTTCAAATTTTTCCTTTTAATCCACCTCATTTTTTTCAGGTTTGTGCACCTCGCAGGATGTCGATATCTTCATTCGTCACATGAATAATGCTCGCTATTTGCGTGAATTGGATTTTGCACGCTTCCATTTTTATGCGCTGACCGGCCTGTACGAGCAAGTACGCCAGCGCAAAGGCGGTGCCGTACAGGGTGCCTCGAGCGTACGCTATCGCCGCACCATTCCCATTTTCCATCCATACAAAATTCAGACAAAACTCATCTGGTGGGACGAGAAGGCAATCTATTTGGAGCAATCATTTGTGACATTGTCGGATGGATTTGTGCGCGCTGTGGCCCTCTCGAAACAATGTATCACCAACTGTGATGTGACGGAAGTGATGAAGACCTTCCCGGAAGCTAGCACGCGACCGGAAATGCCAGCCGATCTAAAGCTGTGGTTGGACTCGATTGAAGTATCTAGTCAGAAGTTGCGCAAGGATAAGTGAATGAGGAGTGTTCTTAATAATGCTGACTTTAGTTTTTTTTTTTTAATAATTTTTATGATGTACATATTCACCCACTTATATACTCATATTTATAGGTAATACAATTTTACTTTTTATATTTTCTTGCCAAGTAAAAGCGTCGTGACGGAGAAAAATGAATTTTTTACTTAATTATAATGGTCATACTCATTTAACAAGCAGTGGCGTTAAAATAAAAACCAAAGAGCTTATTTTCAAGTAAAATTTAAATACATATGTACAGAAGCGCTTATTAAAAAAACTCAAAGTTCAATAACACAGTTCGTATTTCAACACATAAAATCGCAGTGAGCTCGATAAAGGTGTAGTGATCTACGCAATAGTAGCAACTAAAACATTTACCTTAGTACATTGTTTTTGTTTTCCTCAAGCTGAATAAAATTGTTGAATATAAATTGTTATTCATAAGGCCACAACTAACAACAACATGAAGCGTAATATGTAGCACATTAGTGTCAAAGGTGTTTTCCGTTCTTAAGGCTGGTTTTCACTATGTCAAACTCAGTGGCGTTTGTCATCAAATAAGTGAAAACACATTGTAAAATGGGATTAAAAAGCGGTTTATCGATTGATTTCGATCACGATAGGTGTTTAGTCGTGTAGATGCGCTGCTAAATCGGCTATCTGTCAGTTTTTGGCCCATAATATCGGGGCCAACTTTTGGCGCCAAAATATGATGCAGTGAAAACCAGTTTTTATGTATTCGTTTGATATATTTATGCAGAAATGGAAAATTTCAGAGTACTGTCCGAAGGTGTATGTAAAAATTGCGTAGACTAACGCCAGAGTTTTTCAACAGATAACAACCAATTTTGGTGTCGCTTTAACTAGGAGAGAAATAACCAGTTGGTGAACATTTTAAGGACATAATGTCGAGAATGACAACTTTTGAATTTATAGCATTTTGAAGAGTGTGTGCGATATGTGAAACAAGCTGATTCAGAACGAATGAAATGATACAAATTGTAATATTACTTCTGTACGTCTGGCAATCCTACGGGCAGGTGTTGTCAAATTTTGCATCGACCCAGCTTATATTCGAATTTCTACACCCAAACGGCTGATTGTTGACTCGGACGGCCGATTATATTGACCGACAAAAATCACAGAAAGCGCGAAATGCACTTCCTGCTGAACGACGGTTTTCATAAAACGTTTGGAACGCTTTTACGCTTTGTTCAACTGGGTATCGCTGCATGACTAAGCCACAGCCTGTAGGGCCAACTGTTTGGAAAAAATTAACATCACACTTGAAGCACCCTATAACTGAGTCATCAAACACGTCACCGCACACAGGTCCCAAATAGCAAAAAAGCTGGTCGAAAATAAAAAAAAACAGACTTTTAATTTCAATGTTTAATTTATGGCACTTTTATAAAGAATAAAATAAAACGGATATTTCTATAAAAAGATAGTGCTTAGTATGAAGTTCCTACTCTTGGACATAAGCGCAAAGTCGCAGCTCGCTAAATTGCTAGTTTTTTTCTATTTTTAAAAATTAACATTGTGTATCTCTTATAAATACTCTAAAAATAAGTAAATTCATGATATTTATTAAAATACTATATAACAAATTATTTGTCTTTTAGTTTCATAATATTGTGCTAACTGTACGAGTTCGAAATTTGTAAGTTGTTGAGCCACAAAAAAAAAAGTTCCATCCGGTACCGCTTTGGACTTCCTATTGAACTATTCCTTGTTGAGCCTTTAACATAAATTTAAAACTTTAGCTGCGTTTATCTGCGCGCTTAATTTTATTTTTAACCAGTACCCATTTAGATATAGCTAGATCTGAGTTTTTGAAATGACCGTTACGAGGGTGGAGCACGTGGTTTTCGACCGATTTCATAAATGTTTAACATGGTGCTTAAGGAAGTTAAGCGGTCGAGATCGGTGAAGTATTTTTTTAGATACATACATATACTTATATGATATAAGTGGGCGGTGCCACGCCCATTTTCCTAAAATTCTACGAAAAAACAACTTTTCGCTAAAGAGCCATTGTATATATAAATTTTAAGTAAATATGGAGGAGTTCCGTAGCCCCACTGCTCAAAAAATCTGAACGTCCGATACATACACACATATAAATTCAAGGCCATATTTCTAGTAAAATCGCTTAAATTCGACGATTTTTATCCTATGTCATTGAGTAGGGTATAAGTTTGTTTGAAACAAATTTTTCTCTAGCGATGGTCAAAAATGAAATAATTTAGAAAAATTAGGGTTTCTAAAATTTTCTTTTTTTTAATCGGATGGAAAATAATCAAGCTGTCAATAGATAAGTGATTCAAGTATTAAAATAAGGGTTTTTTTTTATCAAAAACATGTAGGGTTCAGGAACTATGATGAACCTATTTTCATATTGTACTCAACCCCAACTAAATTTTGTTTCGGGTGGATTTCGTGATTTTTTTCTTATAGCACCGTGTATTAGTAGTTAGCAACCCCCAAAACCCAAAGTTTGTAATTTTTGTTGAGATTAAGTGATTTTTTTAATATTCAGTCCGCCATATTGGATTCGCCATTTTTAATCTTACATCAAATTTGTAATTATCGACCCCAAAAATGTATTCCTATATTTCAGCATCTTAAGCTCTCACATCCCACTATTTTAGCCAGGGTGAAACAGTTTCACCAAACTTTAATGTCTAACGGTCTTGTAATCTATGAAGAATTTCTTCGGAGGTAATCCAGAAGACATATGCTTGCTATAGTATCACAACAAGAAAAAAATTTGCGGTCCATCCTAATACATTAAAAAGAAATTTGTAAACTAAAAGAGCACACCTTTCGAACATGTTTGATAGTCTAATCAAACATTTTCAACCATCAACCAACAGCAAACTACTGCAATGGTGAATAAAATTTGTGGAGTATTTTCACCGTCAATGTCTGCCCACCGTCACTACGAGTTAAATGCGACGCATCAATGGCAACCGCACACTGTCAATCAAGCAGCAACAAGTAGCCATTGCAAAAACTACAAATACATCTAGTATGCCTGTACGGCGAAGGAATGTATGCAGTTAATGAAATAAATGCAATGTCAACTGAGGCGTATTCAGAAGAGAGCAGCAAACAAGTAACAACAAAATACCTCAGCATCATCGGCAATAGTATTTAGCAGCGAAGATAGCAACAACAATTGCGGCAGCAGATGCTTTTCTAGTCGTGTGTCCGTTCCCCCTTTATTAGATTTAATATCTGCCGCGTACCTACTAGCAGCGAAGAGCAGCTCACCAACAAGTATTTATTAATGTGGTCGACTGTGAATGGTGGGCTGCTGCAGACTATCAGCGCTACCAAAAAGAACTTTTAATATATTCAGTTGTTGTTGAATGCTCGAAGCATATGGAGCGGTAGCGCGAAAATACATAAAAATAAAACTTTTGACGGCGAGTTACATAAAGTTACTAGTTTAACTATTTAAGTGCATTCTGAGTTGTATCCAAAGTAATGAGGTTCTGATTGCTCGTTTGTACGCGCAAAAGTGTTTAAAAGTAAGAGGGATTGTATAAAACAAAAAAAAAAACATTTAATACATTAAAAATAATAATTATGGGAATTAAAGCGATGAAGAATAAAGAAATATGTAAATATAAGTTTCATGCATAAAATAATGGCAACTGCGATACAAATATTTAAATTTATGTAAAATTAAAGACACTGAGGGAAGTTGGGTTTCCAATCAGCTTCTATCAAACCGTTTCATGGGACCCTGGATACAGAACGAAAAAGGACAGAAATACCTGTGGTGACAATGCCTTTTCGCTGTTTCTTTGTGTTTAATTTCCATTATTTTTAAAGTAAAATACAGTTCATTCTCTAAAAAAAATTTTTAACTGGCGCTTTTGTTTCCATATAACGCATGCTCAGCGAAAATGCATTGCCCCTATTCAAGTGCATGGGAGTGTATAATAATGGAATTTTTTTCAGCCAAAGTGTGTCTGCGTGCTTTTCTTGCGCAGTAGCAACCATTCTAACCTACATACATACATACTTATCGATAACAACATCGATTTTTATCTTAAAGCAAGTTGTTAAAGAATAATGTAGTTTTATTCGGGGGCCGTAACGGTTATGGTCTTTACAATAAAATCATAATTTAACCACTAAAGTTGGACTTCTATTTTTCCAAAATTCAAATTTGGCCGTTATTTTATGATATTTATTTTATCGATTAATTTTTTATTTTTATTATTGCGATTATGTTATAGCTGTTATTCTAAGATTTCATTTTTAGATCGTAAAAATTTTAATTTGGTAAATTTGACCGCAAAATAAAAATCCGAATAGAAAAATATAAAAATAAAAAGTAACAATTTGGGAATGATCTAAAACCAAAAATCTATATATTTAACAGCTATTTTCGGTCCCTGCTTTTATCTAATCTTTAGTTTTTTTAAGAAAGAAAAATTAATTTCATTTTAACTAATTTATTTTGTTTAGATTTTGTTTGTCATTTACCTATATTATTAGTTGCAAAATTTATATAGAACTCTCCATTAACGTATATTTTTTATTAGTAGCTAATCTTTTTCTGCATAGCTTTTTAAATTAACGGATGCACTAAAGCGGATGCATCCCATCATCATGCGCCTGTTGTTGTTGTTGTTCTTGTGTTGCTGTTAATGGTTGTTGTTTATTTATAAATATTAGCTTACAGCAGCAGCGTCAGTTGATGTCGCCGCATCTCACTTAAATCACTCAAATGTGCAGCTAATGCCGCAAATGTACACAAACAAAAGCAAACACATGCATCGCCCCAAACAGTAAATAAATAAATAAATACAAATTTAACACACGCTTACATTAGATTTGTAAGTGTAAAGTATACGCCCCGCCGTTCTACCGCACCAAATACTCGCGTACGATGTGCACCACATACATATATACACACATATGTACATACTTGTGTGCATATTTATACGTAGATATCTAAAGCTTAATGCGTTGGTTGATAAAAAATGAGCGAATCAGTATAAATGCTAAGATGCAATCAATTTATCAAACGATGAGCAGCAGCAGCAGCGGCAGCAGAAATTCTGCGCAGTCACATTTTTTTTTTTCGTGGGGCGATGAAACCATGCAAGTATGCGGTGTGTATTTTTTCTATTATTTTGTTGAATGTGCAACAGGTGCGGTTGACTACAGCGAGTCAATAAATAAGTTCGATACTTTTTTGGGAGGGAAAATTAATTGACTAACTGAGAAAAATACAAGTGCATAAAAAATTTAGTTCTTCATAAACTAGGCCACTGTCATTTTAATGATATTTATTTAAAAAAAAAAAAAACGAATTTTCTTATTTATTATTTAAATAATGCCACTCTGTGACAGTATGAACATTT